GGTTTAGCAGGCATGGGGGTGTTGGGTTGATGGTTGGACTTGATGATCTTGGAGGTCTTTTCCAGCCTTAATGATTCTACGATTCTACATACTTGCTACGTTTGTAAGAGAAAAGATGAATTCAGGATGTTTCTACTTAAAGCGCATCGTCTTTTGCTGAGCAAGGGGACCTCAACTCAAAGGCAGCAAGCCTGCAGGCTCTGTCCAAGGATTTCTAAATAGCTTTCTATTTACTGTTACCGGAAAAATACTCTGTAGTATTTCACAAATAATTTATATCCTGTACTTCTAACTTTAGCTTGTAAAAGCAACTAATGCTAATTAAGGCATCAAAAGGAACCGCTAGAAAAGTGAAAGTTTCTCACCAGTGGATCTGCACAAGCAAAGACAACGCAGAAAGTATTTGCCTGGGTATCTCCAACACGGATTTCCATGTTACAGTAACACGATGGTTACTGAAGATATTGGCATTAAGGAACTATGAATAATTCCTAATTTACGGGTTGTGTAGAAGAGTCCCTTAAAAGTCACCATATGTGCCAAACATTAGAGGAGTAACGAGGACAGTGAAACAAGCCCACACTTCCCTGGTTGCAGTCCAATGTTGTCTTTAAAAAGCTTATTTTCTCTCTATACCGCATGGTTTTTTTTCGATGTCCAGAAAACTGGCACCGCTGCTTTGTGAGACAATGATATCTGAAGATCGAAGTGCCACTGTTATTCATCTAACATCGCTTCATTACAATTTTTCTCAGCTTCACTCCCCAGTTCAAAAGAATATTAGCTGAAATACAACTTAAAGGAAGTACTCTTCATGTTTCTATGTATTTACAGGTAACCATCAAACATAGCTGTGCTTCATATTTTATTTTCAGTAAACATTAATAAACCAAGCTTCAGGATACAGAAGTCTCCAATTAAAGGAAGAAATGATATCGATGTTGTGTCATTTATTCCCATTCACTCTCTCCTGAATCAAACCCCCTGCTGAATCTATTCTAAAGGTTGTAATAGCCCGTTGCCTGGCCATCACTGAGCCCTCACCTCCATCAGCGATCAGAGCAACGGAAATGATCGAGGATCGCGTGAAACATATTGACTTGGTTTGTAAAACTGTTTCGAAAACGCCTCAAACGTGTGGAGATTGTACCACGTGAAGCAGCCTGAGCACATCCCAAACCTCTGTGTGCTTACTCAGACGAGCTCCTCCAGTTCCCGAGAGGCATTCCTCCTGATGCCAAGGTTCATGACCAAAAGTCTCACAGTAAGGGAACAAAGCCATCAAAATCTGTAATTCAGAATAAGGGCCCAAGCTTCCAGGCGATGAAAAGAATCTTCCCTGATTAGAACTGGTAGAGCTGAATAATTTCACCCACGAGTCTGCAAACATACAAACACCTATAAACCCTGTGCCATGACGCACAAGATCCAGAGTATGGCTTCGTTGCAGACGCGGGACGTTAGAAGTGACACCGAAGTGACACACTGAGATATCGGCGAAAACCTCACCCTTGCTTTGCTTCGCACAAACCCACCCGGGCAGCGGAAACCAGGATGGACAGCCGATCCCCAAAGAGGACCTGGGGACCACGCTTTTGCCAAGACACCAGCCACAAGAAGCATCTCCATGTAGTCTATGAGAGCATGGTGGAGCAGGAGAGGAACGGCAAAATATTTTGGAAAAAGCACTAGTCCACAGCTGTGAAGTCTATTATCCACTGCAAGGAATGAGCCAAGCTCTTTTCAGTGGTGCCCAGTGACAGGACAAGGGGCAATGGGCACAAACTGAAGCAGAGGAAGTTCCAGCTGAACATGAGGAAGAACTTCTTCCCGCTGAGGGTGACGGAGCACTGGAACAGGCTGCCCAGGGAGGTTGTGGAGTCTCCTTCTCTGGAGATATTCAAGCCCCGCCTGGAGGAGGCCCTGTGCAGCCTGCTGTAGGTGACCCTGCTTCGGCGGGAGGGTTGGACTAGATGACCCACAGACGTCCCTTCCAACCCCTACCATTCTGTGATTCTGTGATTCTGTGAATCAAAAGCCGCAAAAGATAAAGGAAAAACATTTCTTTTAGGTTGAATTTGCCCTGTCTGCTTACTCAACTCCTAAATGAATAATCACGATGTTACTTGGCTCTAGACACCACAGGGGAATAAAATGTCACCACCACAGCTGCCAAACTTCCCGCTACCAGGCCTTCAAATTAAGGAAAAAATACACAATTCAAATGCAGAATTTGATTAGTTAAAGTTCAAATCTTTGCCCAAAGCCCAGCTCTTCCTGTAATATTGCATTCTTTTCTTCTTGTGTAAACTTCTCATTATACCAGAGACATCTTCATAATATAATAATTCTGGTTATAATGTAACTGTGGGTAACATAACTCCTACATTAGAAAAGGCAGCATGCTTTAGTAATGTTGTTTTAATGTAATTTGTGTACTGCAGGAACTGACCGAACCTGGTCATTTAGGATTTGATCAATGTGAATTAGTGTCTTAGAGAGATGAACCATTTGATAATTCAGAATTTGATCAATGCGAATCAGGACCTCGCAGAGATAAAACATTTATCATGAACATTTGGAATCTCCGTCTAACCCAGGCAGCGCTAGAGCAGGTAATGAGCAGGCATCAGTACGGGCGGGAGACAAAGTACAGAAGACCTGTCAGTTCTCCGATACAAGTCTATATGGCATCTTTGTTTTTTCCCTCTTTAATGGGGCGATTTATCCCTAAAGACTGATGAAGCCACAGTTGATGTAATTTCAGGGACTAAATGGAGGAAGGAAAAGGAAAATCCAGGAAATATTTAAGTAATTATCCGCTCCTCTTTGCTCTTGAAAGAGATGTAGCTCAAAAAGTTGAAGAAATGCAAGTCACCACAATAAAACTTAGTAACTAATTCTAGACATGTTTAAAATAAAGTGAGACTATTTCATTGTAATACCACAATTAGATCTATTAATCTCGCGCGTAGAACCTGAAATCACACTGACATGCAGCACACTGGTTTACGCATTAACAAAATTTAGCAGTTCAACCTTATTTAATTCTTCTTTTACGGTCAATTAAACAAGCTCTTTAAACTCCACTGCTTGAAACTCTGTCCTCAATCCTCACACGCAATTAAACTGAACATGAGAAGTGCCTGGTGACACCAAAAGAGCATCATCTTTAGGTTTCACTAAATCATTCATAATTTATCCATCAGGTTACATACAAAAGGCAGTGATAAAGTAACATCTGCTGAATTTAAACCTTCAACAAAAAGACATGGCATTTAAAAGGATTTTATACAAGCAAAACTTCTAAATTACAAAGTAATGTTGATATTTCATGTACTTTATCAAATCTCCTTCAATTTATGCGCATATTTCAGGTAGCTTTTTCTTTTCATAATTTTTTCTTTTTGTTTTTTGAAGGCAGTGAACCAAAACTGGATCCACGGATCAAAAAGCTCCAAATGATTTTTCAGAAAATTCAGCTTGAAATGCAAAGGAAGCCCAGCAATTTCAGCAATGGCATTCCAGCAAAGACGGGTCAAATAGGCGATTTCTATTTATACCTTTAGCTTCTAGAAAATTAAGAACAGACCAATCTCATCAAGTGTTAGGAATCCCTGATTCCCTCTCCAAATCCCTTTCCATTAAATACTCTTTGGTTTATGCAGACAGACTGAAACATCCTTCAAAATGGCTTTCTTAAAATTGTTAAGATCTCGCCTGATGCTAGAGACTGGTCCCTACTACAGCTGCCAGCTCCCTCTGTGCAAAAAGGAACTCAAAACCTATAAAAATAATATATAATATTTTTTCCTGGTTTGGAAAAAAAACCAAACCCGAAACCATTTCCCACCTCTAACTGCAATAACCACCTGGAGCTATCAACAACTACTTCAAATCACAGCTAAAGCTTGTTTTGGAATACTGCAAGTGAAATTAGGCAATAATTAGATTTCAAAACCTGAAAATACCCCACTGTGACAAAGGAAGGGGAAACACCCCCTTGATGGGAATCTTATCACTGACAAAAAAAAAATGAGAATGAATAAGAACACAGCAGGCTTCCCATCCGTCACGGGAAACCCTCCGAATTATGCTGAAACCAGACCTCGCGGCAACGGTCACTCTGTCCCTCTTGTTGGACAGATGAATTCAGCCCTCAATATACTCTGCACCATTAACCACTACAAAGGGTTTATATCTACACTGAAGAATATTTAACAATCCATGCTACTAAGAGATGAGATCGTTTTTATCTTACAGTTAAGAACGTAATTTATATAATTTATCAGCAGCTCAGAAAGGCCTTTTCTCTCCTTGCTGATCAAAAACCCGAAACAAAATCCAAAACAAAATAAAACCCCTCCACAAACCTAAAAATTGTCACAGATTTTTTCACTTCATACAGTATATCTTGCTTACTGCTGAGACTAAAAGGTTGTAAAAAGTTCTCTCTGTATCCTTACTAAAATGATAAATGGGCCCTTCTGCCTAATGGATGAACCAGCAGCAAGAGAAGAGTCCAAGGCTAAGGGTCAGAGTCACTTGGATCCATCAATTACTATATCTTCATTTAACCACCCTCCGGACTAATAGAAATTATTTAATTTGACCTTCGCTGTTAAGGGGCAAAGTGAAGTTGCTAATTTAAATCCTTTCACATCACGCAAGCGCAGGACGAATACTATTGTAATGCAAAGTTGGAACTACATTTTTTGATTCTCCATTAGAGAAAAAATGCTAAGGAATATATTTTTAGAATATTTCCCGCATCTTATCAAACATAAATTAATTAGCGCATTACTAACCGCGCATACAATTTCTACGCAGCCTATGGTTACCATGCAGTGGTTTTCAAATTCTTCAAAATGCTCTCATTTCAGGAACCAGCACAGACCGATAGCATCTATGTCTGGGGGAAGCGAAACTGTTGTGCGTTTTAGTGTTGGTAAGAACTCCTCCAGCTGCCAGGCTCAAAAATAACAGCAGAAAAGACTTACTTGAACCGAGCTGACACTTCATCGGCAGCTTTTTGGTATTGCTCCGTGGTAACTTTGTAGAACTGGGAACTCTGGAAAATTTAAAAAAAAAATAAATTAACAACTCAGATCTCATATAATATCGATTATATGCATGCTAATATCTAGTAACGCTAATTTGGATATTTTATCCATTGAAGTTGTTAAAAAAAAACCCCAAACCCCAACCCTCAAAATGTACGTGTTGTTGTTGGTTTTTCTTTAAAACAAGTGTGTCCTCTTGGTTCTGGAAGGTTATGCAAAAGAGATAAAAGGTTATGCAAAAGAGTTTTTAAGCAGGAAACTGCAAAGAGACTTGGGGTAAGAATCACATATTTAGCACTAAGTGCTGCTGGAGACTTTGAAGCTTCTCCATTAGAGAAAAGAAACAAACAAAAAATTAAACTACTGAATCCTCATTTCTTCGCAGGTCCTTGTTTGTGTTACTTATATGTATCTCCCCATCTAGTCTGCAGGCGATACTCAAGTCAAACTTTAAAGCTGCACAATAAATTAACTCTGGCTTGACTTTCTCTTTTGCTCTTTGCCTTGATAATGCCTCTCGCAGTGAGTTATTTTAATATTCCAAACTTCCAGGTCACTTCAATCAGCTGCTAATTTTAATTTTTCAAATCAGGCAGCTTCAGAATGTATTTTCATCTCCCCTAAACCCAGGACTCCCTTTCACTCGGTTCCACCAAATCATTAATTTCCAAAACGCAAGCAAGACAAGATTGAATCATCAAGCAATAAAACTTTTCTAGACTTCAAAATGGCAAAGTTGCTCAGTGGGATGTAGGATGTTCAAAGACAAATCACTCTAATGTTGTGATGCTTCATGTCTAGATAATATATACTTGGTATTTTTAAAGAGGTTTTTATAGCCTTAGCACAGTTGGACTTAAGATGTAATAACTAAAGCACCTGGCCTCACAGTTGGAGGAATAAAGAAAAGTTAAAGCAGTTCAGAAGTTCTCCAAAATCATTTTTCTCTCCACGGTGGGGCAAACAGGAGACGTATAAAGATTTTGCTGGCACCTCCAAGAACCCTTCCGTAGCTTCGCAGCTCTTGAGTCTCATCTGGCATCCCACGGCGTCACATTAACATGGCAACACAACCCTTACAAAATCACACGCTGCATGATCACATAAAAACTATTTTGAATCCTTAGTTTAACAATCTACCTATTTATACCATGGTTTAAAGTTCTTCATGCCACAACATTGATTTCGCATCTTGAAAACATTTAACATACATGGATGGCACAACGCAGTCCATGGAAAGCGTCATTCCAATTTTATTTTGGGTAAAGCAAGCAGTGTTGTTTATTTAAGACACTGACGTTATGAAAAACCATTATGACTAATACATTGTTATGGAAAATAAAAAAATTAAAACCCTGTAACTGGAGAGATCACTCCTTTGTAAAAGTCAAAGTGAAAGAGTCTCCTTGATCACTGGGTTAGTAAACATGTCCTGAGCAATACGATCACCAAGCTCAACATGAGCTGGCAGTGTGCGCTGGCAGCCCAGAAAGCCAACCGTATCCTGGGCTGCATCAAGAGAAGCGTGGCCAGCAGGGCGAGGGAGGGGATTCTGCCCCTTTACTCCGCTCTCGGGAGACCCCACCTGGAGTCCTGCATCCAGCTCTGCAGCCCCCAACAGAAGAAGGACATGGATGTGTTGGAGTAGGGCCAGAGGAGGGCCACGAAGATGATCCAAGGGCTGGAGCACCTCTCCTACGAGGACAGGCTGAGGGAGTTGAGGATGTTCATAATGGAGAAGAGAAGGGTCCGGGGTGACCTTAGAGCAGCCTGCCAGGACCTGAAGGGGCCTGCAGGAAGGATGGAGAGGGGCTTTTCACAAGGGTGTGCAGTGACAGGACAACGGGGAATGGCTCTAAACTAAAAGAGGGCAGATTTCCATTAGATATTAGGAAGAAATTCTTCCCCATGAGGGTGGTGAAACACTGGCCCAGGTTGCCCAGAGAAGCTGTGGCTGCCCCCTCCCTGGCAGTGCTCAAGGCCAGGTTGGATGGAGCTCTGAGCACCCTGGTCTGGTGGAAGGTGTACCTGCTGATGGGAGGGGGGTTGGAACCAGATGATCTTTAAGGTCCCTTCCAACCCAAACCATTCTATGATTCTATGATATTTATCTGTACCAAATTACGTTACAAGGAATGCAGGTAAGATAGGCCACTACAGCAAAAACACTTGCTGGAAACTCTGAAAGAGGCAGCTCTATCTATGAAAACAAAAGGAAAAAACATTTTTCCTTTCCATTTGAGGATCTCATCTTCCGAGGCTCTTTCCTGTGAATTATAATCTTCAGATGTCCAGAAACCACTGAAATAGAATACCAACTCCAGACACGGGTAAAATTGTATTGCAAGGCTAATATTTTACCATGAATGATAAGAAATGGTGGAACATCCACTGCAGCCAAAGGTCACGCACAGATCACCAAGAGCACGGTGGTCTGCTGCACTCCTGCTCCTGAGACTTAAACCTAATAATTCGTTCGTACTGGAATCAAGGTTTCCGCGCATGTGACTTGGGGTCATTTATTTTTTCATAAATCATCGTTGGCCGGTAAGAAAATGAAAATGAAATCCTCCTCACATCAGTGACCCCCTCGCATTTAGCAATCTCAGCTGCCCAATGGCAGTCACATCCAGGTTCCCTGGCCGTGGATGAAATCAATGGGTACGCGATTAGGTGGCAGCCTGGCTACGGCACGAGTGCGGACAGGTCACCATTTGAGATGATGAATAGCTCTCCATCATCCTCCAGTCCCCGACGATGCTAACATTTACTATAATCTTATTTAGGCTGCGATTTATCTTTCTTTTGCCTGATCAATAAAGATGAACACAACAGTTGTAAGGATCGATTGCAATTTTTTATCATTTTCAAGCATGAAGGAGCACTTCTGACACAAAAACAATATTCTGAGCGTACTTGTTCTACTTTTTAATTGCAGTTCAAGTGATCAACTGTGCTGCTATATATGCCAAGAAGCTTTAATCCTATGGTAGACTCGAGCTACCACGAAATCATTTGTTATATTAGATAAAAGTGTGCTGTGTTTCTCGGCCCAGATCTCCCTTTGAAATTCATTCAGGTTCTCTTCTGGAGATATCCTCTCCATAATCCAGAGATGAAGTTACATTTTAGAACTCCGCTCTAATCCTCCAGAAACAAGTGCTGTGGTCATTTCTCTAAATACAGAAAAAATAGTGATATAACTTAGCACTGTTAACACAATAATTTCCTCAGTCTCCCGATAAATACATGTATGTATTTTTATTCCATTCCAGATATATACGCTCTGTATCTATTCCTAGGATTCTTTCATCTAAGCAAGCCACTAAAATGGAAGCAAATACCACAACCAAGTTCCCTTGTCTCTTTGATTCGGATCCCTCAGGCACCTGCATTACAAAACAGCCTTCGCTTACAGAGTTACACAGCATCTCCCCCGCTTTGAAATTTTCTCTGTTGCTGCGTAACAACAACAAAAAAGATGGTTTTCTGCAGACCTTTGCGATCTCCTTTGTTGCAAGAAGCAGGACGCGTGTTACGAAAGACACCGGGAACTTCCAAGAGAGAACAGAAGTGCCAGGGCTATGGCAATTAATCATCACCCCAGACTGCGTAGCAGAGGCTATTTCTGTGTCTGCTACGGAGTTCTGGCACAATGTGGGCAGGTTCCTTGACTTCATTATCAAAACAAAGTGGCAAATTTGGTTCTTGATGGCTAAACCGTAGCTTCTTCCAAGTCAAGGATCTAGGCTAAACTGATCGCTGAGGTGTGCTCCAGAATCACAGAGGTTGCTGGCTAGGAGATCCCACAAGCTTCAGGATCTGAAGATGACAGGAACTACTCTGTCGCTGCTGACACAACGGGGGCCTTGATAACTAAAAATCAGGGATTAACTTTAAGGCTGCTAAAGCTGGGGAAACAAACCCAATTATGTACACGCTCGTCACTTGCCAATCTTCTTGACTGAAGAAACACTGCCCATCTTTAAGATAAAAACTGATGTACTGGACCAGACCAAATACTGCAGGACTCTGACAAGTATTAACAGCACGCGTGTAGGATAAAGAGCAGAACAGGCACAGAGTGATGCTGGGTGATCCCCCAGTACATATAATGCCCAAAACCCAGTCCGAGGGGTATGCCCCAAACTGCACCATGACTGTCAGCAGGTGTGAACCCAGGATGCCAGATCCGAACAACGGAACACAGCCCTAATCAGTGAGAGCCTGATTTCCAACACACAAAATGCTACCAAAAGCTAAGGATAAGCTGGGTTCGCACCTTAAATACTGTGTTCAGCTTTGGGCCCCTCATTCCAAGCAGGACATGGAGAGGCTGGAGCGTGTCCAGACAAGGGCAACAAAGCTGGTGACAGGGGTCTAGAGAACAAGTCTGATGAGGAGTGGCTGAGGGAGCTGGGGATGTTTAGTCTGGAGAAGAGGAGGCTGAGGGGAGACCTTATCCCTCTCTACAACTCCCTGACAGGAGGGTGTAGTGAGGCGGGTGTTGGTCTCTTCTCCCAAGTAAGCAGATAGGACGAGAGGCAATGGCCTCAAGCTGCGTGAGGGGAGGTGTAGACTGCATATTGGGAAAAAATTCCTTCCTGAAAGAGTGGTCAGGCATTGGACCAGGCTGCCCAGGGCAGTGGGGGAGTCCCCATCCCTGGAGGGGTTCAAAAACCGTGTGGCTGTGGCACTTGGGGACATGGTTTAGCAGGCATGGTGGGGTTGGGGTGATGGTTGGACTTGATGATCTTAGGGGTCTGTTCCAACCTCAGTGATTCTATGATTCCAAGACTTCATGCCTCACCTACCTCCTACTGAGCACAAAAGGCACTTGAGATCATAAGTCACCATAGTTTTTCCATGCATAACTTTAGCCTTAATTACCTTCCACAGGAGTTACAGAATTTAATTTCTTCAATATTATGGGAATGGTAACACAGAAAGACCTATGAGAAGCTAGCAATTTTTCAAAGTTTGAATGATGTGAAATAAATAATGGATG